TAAATAAATAAATAAATAAATAAATGCAAGGACCATTCATCTATCTAGCAAGCAATTACGAGCAGGAGGGAAGGAATAAAGAGATAACGGTTGAGTTCTATTGACGTAATGCGGTCATACCAAGGCTACTACACCAGATCCCATCAGAACTCTGAAGTTAAGCGCCTTTGGGCCGGAATAGTATTGGGACGGGTGACCTCCCGGGAAGTCCCGGTGCTGCATCCATTTTGCATCCGCTTGAACCTTCTCTGACGTGGCATCTTCTTCTCCGACATGGTAGTCCACTTAGCATTTGTCATGTAACGTGGCAGCCAGGTAGCTGACATGGCATTTCAAAAAGAAAAAAAAATAAAAATAAAAACTGAAAGGGTGGAGAATATAATATTTATATGTTTGAGATTAATTTATCAAGGATTTTGATCTATTTGGTGCTGATGTGGCCCAGTGTAGTGTTAAAAAAATAAAAGTAAATGAAAGATGCATATTTGCAAACAAGTATTGTCACAATACATAATGTTGGGTTTTGAAATTACAATGCTAGTTTATCTGTTATGAGATTAAAATTTCAGAGTCTAGGTTGTATGATTAAAAGAACAAAGTATGAGTTGAGGGGTTAGGATTTAGGGTTTAGGGTTTAGGATTTGCATGGGGTATATAAACCTAGATTCTAGAATTCACATAGATTATATAAAGGGTTTAGAAAGTTGGGCTTGGAGTATGTAAAGAGAAGATAGATTTAAGAATTCACACAAACAAAAATAAATTGGATGTGGAGTGTGAAGGATGAAGAATTGAAGACATTAAGTTTCAGTGGTGATGGATTAGTTAGTGGGCAATGATTACCTGTACGATGCATTAGTTAGCAAGTCATTAACATATTTGTACAACCAATTGATTGCACACACACAAATTTATCTCCAAAGTGACATGTAAACGATTTAGTGGATTTTTGACATGACATGGACTACCACGTGGCAGCCACATCAACAAGGTACCATGTGGCACTTGAAAAAATCAATTTAGTATTCTTCTGCCTTTTATTTTTCTACCTTATTCCAGTTAATTAAATTACTTTAATATTTTTAATTCACCAATTTATTTTTATTTTTTATTTATATTTCTGTCTTGGCGCAAGACTGGGCGGCCAGCAAGGAGTCGAGACAGGGAGTTAATTTTAAAATTGATTTTAAAAAAAATGATTTATTTATTAATTTCCACCTATGCGGAAGACTGGCCGGCCAACGAGGAGTCGAGCTAGCCAGGAGTTGGGACTTGGGCAAGGGAGCGGGACAAGGAAGAGGAGGAGGAAGTCCGAGACTCGCGACGGGACTGGGACTCGCGCCGGGACTAGGAAGAGGGGGAGGAGGTCCGGGACTCGCGACGGGACTAGGAAGAGGGGGAGGAGGTCCGGGACTCGCGCTGGGACTAGGAAGAGGGGGAGGAGGTCCGGGACTCGCCACGGGACTGGGACTCGCGCTGGGACTAGGGAAGAGGAGGAAGAGGAGGAAGGCCGGGACTCGCAGCGGGACAAGGAGGAAATCGGGGAGGAGGGCCGGGACCAGGAGTCGCGGCGGGGATAGCAGGCAGGACAGTGAGGGTGGGTGGTCTTCCACAAAAAAAAGTGTGTGTCGGAAATTCCTTAGTGCAGTAGGACGGGGGGGCCTGCCGAATCCCACAGAGAGTACTCTGTGGGGGAAGGGTTCCTCTGAAGCGTCTCGGGAAAAGCCGTGAGGGGGTGACGGTTGCTCGGTGCCTACGGGTCCCGACTGCTCGCTGCCTTCTTTGAGCCCAGTACCGACGTTCGCAGGGGGGATACCTGGATATTACTGGGGTTACCTGGATACTTCTGGCGTGTTACCTTGGATCAGTGAGGAGTGGAGGTTAGTTTCCCGGCGACGCGACCCTCTGAGGAGGTCCCGCGGAGGGTCGCCGAGTATTATATGGTGAGCTGGCTGTCAAGGATTGTAAGTCCCGCTGCCAAAATTATTTTTGGTGCGCGGGCGACTGGAAAAAGAGGGTTGGTCTTGTGCCGATACGCGTAACGTCGCAGCGAGTCCCAAGAGCTAGTAACCATTTTTGGCGGGGGGCGATGGCCTCGGTATTGTCAAGCCATTCTCTCATTCATTTGGGACGGTGGGGAGAAGTGTTTGCCGAGGCCGTTCAAGCTCCGCCTGGTCGACCACCACTGTGACCGCCACCGCGCTCGATCTCTATTGCAAGCTCAGGTGAAATTCCTGATAAACTTGGAGGGGATGTGGGACGCGTTCGCAGTGTGGGCCGAGGAGTCATAACATCCCAGGTCGGAATGTGAAAATGGAACTTCGAAACCGGTGAGAGTTCTCTCGTCGGCTAGGGGTTTCACAAAAGTAACATTTCTATAAATTTCTATCCGACCGATGGGCCCCCGGGATTGGACATACTTCTTGCTGATTTGTCTTTTGAGGAAAATCCTTCGCGGTGATGGTTACTTTTTTTATTTTTTAACGTGTGTATCGGCCTTGTCGGTTTCTCTCTTTCCTGGTCACATTCCCGAAAAAGGCCGCAGCACCTATGATTCTCTTCCGGGGGGGTCTAACTCTCCCTCTCTCTCTCTCTATTCTTCTCTTTGTCTGGCTCTCTCTGGCTTCACTTTTTGTGGTGTGTGCCTCTGGGGTCTGGTTGGAATTTGCCGTTGGCTTTTTTGCCCTCTCTTTTTTCCTTTTATCCATCGCAAAGAAGGGTGTGTGTGTTCTCATCTGGGGTTGGAATGAAGGACGGGGAACCTCCTCGTCTTGTGAAGTGGGACCATCTTTTAGGATGATGGCTTTGCTGCCTGGTGTGTGCTTGGGTGGGGTTTGATGGTGGCAGTCTACCTCTCCCTTTCTCCGGTAAGACCAGATGACTGGTTCGTCCGCTACTCTTATGTTGGCCCTACCTTGGCCAACGGGAGTCGGCGATGCTCCAGACTGGATGGCATGATGTGGTGGTGTACCGAAGGGGGACATCCGAAGGGGAAGAGGGGCCGAGCCTCGCGAAACTTAGGTGTGTCGGGTTGTGTGATGTCGGAGATCCATTTTTTTGTGGCTGCCATCGTGATTTTGCCCATCCAAACCTGAGTCGTTGCTGTGGACGGGAAAAACTATGGAAGAGCTGTTTGGGAAAGATTCGGGAGTTTGTTTTCGAAGTTACCTTGTTCGATCGATCTAGGATCCACTGTACTCGCCCACCAGAATTTTCTCCCGGAACCCCCCGATCAGCCAAAGCGGGTCGGGGGGCCTTGGTTCAACGAGGGTTACTCCATATGCTAGCCTATGTCAATATAAGGTGCGGGTTAGCCGTTTCTATTCCCACCGGACTATTGCTTAAGAAGTGGACTATCGACCCCCCTCTCCGTCAAAGGTTTGGGGGCCAGGGCTTAGAATGTACTTCAGGTGGTGCGGAGGTAGGAGGCGAGAGGTGGATGAAATCGATCGGATGAGGTGATGGAGGGGTCAACTTCGCAGGAAGTTCTGGGGGGTTTGTTCCAGCCGGATGTTGGGAGGGAGATACAGGCCATGTAATACTAGTTCGGTACCATCGAACGGGTTTTTTTTGCTAGGCTCTCTTGGCGTTCGGAGGGGACCTCAAAGGACGGATAGCATAATTCAATCAGCTCCAAGTAGTTTTTTCAGGAAATAGACGCGGCGCAGTAAGGGATGCGTATTATGTTTTAATGTTTGTTGTAGATCACGACGGGATCCATGGAAGGGTGGGGTTCGGCATTTCCTGCAAGGCACCGGAAAGCTAGTAGCGAGGCGGAGCCCCTCCAACCGGAGGGGACTTCTCTGGTGGTGATACCTCATCATGTTAGACAGCCTGGGGTTGTCCGTCAAGCGGGTCGCGAACTTGGGGGTCGGAGGGGGGGAGATTGGGGTGTCCATCTTCCTTATCTCGTCCACTGCATTCACAGCCAGCATTAGTCAGCATTTCTTCGGATGGTGGACCATGCACAGGGCAAGAAAAGGGCCCCTTGGGCTTTTATATCCAGTTCCAGGAGGTGGGCGCACAGAGTCTTGTGCGGGGTGTGTTGAAGGGGGGAAAAGGAGGTGGTGCTAAAGTTCGACAGTACAGTTCGAACCGGAACAGATATCTCGAGATGGAGAGTGAGAGAGGGGGAGAAGGACCCCCCTTTTGGAACGTGAATGATGGTGTGTTTTGGTTTCTTCTTGGGGGGTGTGTGTGCCCGAAAAGGGAAAAAATCGGAGATGTCTGACGCATCGTGAAAAAGAAAAAGAAAGTGTCATCGATGAAAGGAAAAAAAAAAAGGCCAATTTTGTAAAGACGGTTATAGTCAGAGCCCCCGGGGGAAGGAGTTACTTTGAAAAAATTAGAGTGCTCAAAGCAAGCCTATGCTCTGAATACATTAGCATGGAATAACGTGATAGGACTCTGGTCCTGTTCATGTTGGTCTTCTGGACCGGAGGAATGATTAATAGGGACGGTTGGGGGCATTCGTATTTCATTGTCAGAGGTGAATTTCTTGGATTTATGAAAGACGAACTTTTGCGAAAGCATTTGCCAAGGATGTTTTCATTAATCAAGAACGAAAGTTGGGGTTTCAAAGATGATCAGATACCGTCCTAGTCTCAACCATAAACGATGCCGACTAGGGATTGGCGGATGTTACTTTGATGACTCCATCAACACCTTATGAGAAATCAAAGTTTTTGGGTTCCGGGGGGAGTATGGTCACAAGGCTGAAACTTAAAGGAATTGACGGAAGGGCACCACTAGGAGTGGAGCCTACGGCTTAATTTGACTCAACACAGGGAAACTTACTAGGTCCAGACATAGTAAGGATTGACAGATTGAGAGCTCTTTCTTGATTCTATGGGTGGTGGTGCATGGCCGTTCTTAGTTGGTGGAGTGATTCATGACAACAAGATGACCATTCCAGTTTCTTTCTTAATATATATATCAAGTTATTTCTATTTTTTCATCTTTCTTTGAGAGAAGTCTCACTTGTTATTTGTCTTTATCAT